TAAAATTTTCCAACATTTTGATATTATGATAACAAACGTACTGCCAACTAGTTTTACTAGTCAAAAGAAGATATCTCTAGTTATTCTGCACAGGATAAACCTTACTGTAAAAAAATAAAATAAATCCTACTGTCGGTTGGTCAGTAACTAAACTAGCTACTGCTCTCCCAGTTCTTGTGAGTGAGGCAGATTGTTAGCCACCCTGTAGAATGACGTATAACGATAAAAGGAAAAGCATTTAACAAAAACAGACATAATAAAAAGTGCCTTGACAATACGCATAAACTATAAAGTGTATAATGAATGAACAAAACCAGGTCTGATGTATGAATGCAAAACATGGAAATTAATGTAGTAATGGCAACATACACAGTGGATTAAATGAAAAATGTCCTTTTCCTCCATGACAAAGCAAGAATAACACACAAAAATATTTGGGACTCGGTTGATCTCTTCTAAACAACCTGCCATATTCACTTGACCTTGCAACAGCTGAGGTAATTTACTTTCAATCATTGTGAAATGCTTTGACGAGGAAAAAATTTCTATAATGAAAGCCAGATTAAAAAAAAAAATCAAATATTCACTGAAAACGTCTCGAGATCAAAACCTGCAGAATTTTACTCAAGAGGTATCGAGGAACTACTTGATAAGTGGCAACAAGTCCTTGCAAATAATGGCGAAAATCTAATTGTACTTTATTTATTTGCAGAATAAAATATCATAAAACAAGAATGGAATTATTTATGGCTCAGCCTAATTGATATCACAGAAATGATTAAACAGCAAAACATAGATCTAGTGGAAGAAGAAAAAATAACAGATGGAGTAAAAGATTGCTAGATTCGTGTTGAATAAGTAGGAAACGAATGAGATAAATGATGAATAGATGAAATGGTTTTTGCTGGTAAAACAGAATAGCATTCACGGTAGTCACAGAAGGATTTTGGAAAGGCCTTTGTTATACAGAGGATGAGCAATGTCTAGTGACAATGACGTTGTATAAATTTCTTATCTATTTGAGTGTGAAAGGCCTTCTTGGGGTTACGTTTATATGGACAAGTATTTACTAATTAAATTCAAATTGATGGATCGTATTAAGAGACGTGGATTTTTATCAAAGAGCCGATGAAAACAACCACAAGTACAAAATGTTAATTTGGAATATAAAACTATGTAAAAACGTACATTAAGAATTACTGCTAAAGATGTCATCAGTGCATTTATCGATAGAGGTTGTTGCATGAATGTTTTATGATATGTTACAGGTGTATGCATAAAATGCATATTCATGTAAGTGCATTTAAACTCTCAAAGACTTAATGCTTTCCTCCGACTCACATAAGAAACATTTAAATGTAAAGACATGCATATCATGAATACAATTACGAATAGAGATTTTTATTATGTTGATGTTTTATACAAAATGTTTTACCAGCGCATGCGACTGTTTTGTAGTAACCCGGCAAGCTTGGGACCAGGCAGGTGTTGGATCAGCGGATTTTCCTCACCAATGAAACTTAAGCTAAAAACTGATAAAATAATGAATATGTTGTATTGTGTAACCTAACCATAGCCTGATATTACTTTATATAAGTAATTTTTTTTTTAAAACATTTCACCCCAAGCAATGCGGGATGCCACTAGCACACAAGGGGTTACAGAGAGTGGGAGCGATAGTAAAGAGGCATGAAAGAGGAAAAGATGAAGAGAAGGACAGGGAATAGATCAAGGCATCTGGAGATGTCGATTGACATGACATTTGAACAGCTGGAGCTTATAGTTATCAGGGAAACAAGTAATAGGAAGGGAATTCCACAGATGGGAGGTGCATGACATGAAGCTATTGGAGTAGAAGAGACGGCCATATTTAACTGCTTTGACAATGAAAGGGTGGGACCAAGATACCAGCCTAGTAGCACACTTAAATTCATGCAGTCTGGGAAAGTGGCTCATCAGAGCAGTTAGCATGAAACTATTTGCAGAAAAGACAGAGGGAGGTGACGGCACGTCTGTGAGAGAGAAACTGTAGACGAGATGCCAGATCAGGGCCAATCACATTGCATATCTGTCTCTGGATTTTGTTGAGGACCTTAAGATGAACAGCAGGAACACCAGACCATATATGGTAGCAGGATTTCATGCAAGGGGGAATGGTTGATTTATAGATTTTGAAGTAATATCATGAACGTAGCTCAAGGGCTTGTAATGTCAGAAATTTAGAACGAAAACGTCTTTAAAATTAGTTTTGATATCTATTAAATAAATACCAAAAATTGTATTAAAATTCAACAATTAGTTAATGTTCAGATCATTCAGTCACCCCAGAAAGTATCTGACATCTTCCACCATGTTTTATTCTTAAATGAGTCAGATTGGACAAAAAATAGCAGATTGTTCTGATATCTGGGTTTAATCTGCTTAATCTTTGGTTTCCATCCTTAATAGAGACTAAAAATCATTTGCACTATCTTGCAAGGCAAGAGTTATTCTGCAACCTTGTTTGTACTGACACAAAGTTGCAAGTTTATTGCTACTTCCACTGCAAACGTTCAGATGAGCTCCATTCATTAGTACCACCAATTCAATTAATATATATATATATATATATTAGAATTTTGCTTTATTTATGGGGAAAATGTGCTCAATATTTTAGTGTTTGTTAGACTAGACAATATGTACATAATAATCAAGATTGTATGGTGACTGTTGGTTTCATCCCTCAAGAGAGTTTCAAACCATTTGAAGATTGCTTAAGATGTAAAACTGACAGTCCCTAAGCAATGTTGATTCTTATGTCCACACTGTCAGATCTCTCACTCTCTCTAATAATAATTATATAGGATCATTAAATATAGACACAATTTTTCATTTAATATTTGGTCTGAGTTAATAATATAAATAATTAAATATAATAAAATATAAATATAATCAAATAAAAAAGTAATTCAAAATAGGGAGGCATGTTGGTGTAATGGATAGTTGCTCAGATTGAGGAATCGGAGAGCCGAGTTTGAATTCCAGTCGAATCCATTACATTCACTTACGTGCTAATACCCTTGGGAAAGATATGAATCCTCTTCTTCTCCCCCACCAGCTATGGGTAAATAGCAGAACAGATCAGGTTCTATAGCCTTGGATGGCATCTGGTCTACCGCAGAAAGAAATGGCAAACTACTGCGGGAAAAAATCTACCTTGTCAGCCATGTATCAATAGATACATGATCGCCTAAGCATGTATCACGCATGGCATATAACTGACTGATTGACTGACTGAATTTAAAATAAAGAAATAAGTAATTGGTAATTTTGAATATTATGATAGTTTAGACATATTTTCTGAATTATGTGATCATTGGTGAATTTGAAGATTTTGCTTAATTTTCTAACATTTTTGATAAAATTATATTTTATAACAGTGAATTTAAAAAGAAAAGAATTTTTAAATAAATCAAACATTTTGAACGGCTTCTGAATATTTAAATGTTCTCATGTTCTTAACAGACTTTAGCATAGTACAGATATGAAATAGCCATTTTCAATATTTCTGGTGTCATATCAAGTGATGGTGGATTCAACACCATCACTTGATAAGACACCAGAAGTGTTGAAACAAAATGACTATTTTTGTAGTGATTTTTATAACATTTTTAAGTCATAATTTTCAAATAAATGATTATATGTATATATAATGTATATATATATATATATATATATATATATATATATATATATATGTATATATATATATATATATATATATATATATATATATATATATATATATATATATATATATATATATATATATATACATATATATAAATATATATTTATATATATATATATATGTATATGTATATATATACATGTATATATATATATATTTTTATATATATTCATATATATATATGTATATATACATATATATGTATATATTTCTTAGATAAGGTATTGTAATATTTACAGTATTTACTGTTGCTCTCATCTTTGTTGCCACACTTATGAAATTTCACCTATTGTATGCTTCAGCCTTCTTCAGGTGATTGGAGTTTTGAACTGAATCCTTTATTTTGTCCACTGGGGTAGATATTTCTAGTTCCACGTGCCGTGCCTCTTCCGGATGTCTCAGTTTCAGTTATTATCCCTTTTAACTCAACTCTCCAAGTTTATGTTCACCTCTGCTGTGGTAATGAACTCACAACTCTTTTGGGTCTAGTCACTAGATTTACGCTTTTATCCACTCGGCCATTTTTAATCGGATTAGATAGCTTTACCAATCGCTCAGTTCATACTCCTTCCTAGTCTTTTCAACAGGAGTAGTGGTTTGTCCTGTGTTTCCTGTTTAGGATTATGTTTCAGAGTCTTTCTGTTAAAGTTTTCTCATTGTCTTTCACTCACAGTAAGCCCTTGCATCTTAGTGGCATTATTACCTTGCTTGGGGGGAAATGATTTAAAAAAGAAAATGTTGAAAGAATTTCTCAAATGCCTCTACCAAAATTCATTATTTCCAACATTTTTTTCTTTCTTCATTCGTTTTATTTTTATTCTCTGATTTTCTTTTCTTTTTCCTTTTTCAACATTTCATTTTCTTTCACGATTATTTTCTTTTTCTTTCATTTATTTCTTTATCTTCTTTGTCACTTTCTTCTTTCTTACCTCTTCTTTTCCCTCTTTTCTCTCTTTCCTCTTTTTCCTCTTTTCATTTTGTTTCCTCCTCTTCTTCTTGTATACTTATCTCTTCCTTCAATATCTTTCTTCTTTCACTCATCTTTTAACCCGTCTTCCTCACATTCTTGGTGTGTTTGCCTGTGTGTCTATTAAAATTGCATTTACTTAAATTGCCATATCTTTCTTGTCATTTATCTTCATTCCAGATTTCCCTCTGCCTTCTTCCATCAGTTCGTCTGACACATGAAGATTGAATAAGATGACCCTGGCCACTAAAAATACATTATCAGTGGCTGTCAGGAGAACTGACAGTTGTGGGGTTAGCATGATCATTTATAATGTTGTGTTAACAGATCTTCTATGACTGACGAAACAAAACTACCATAGGAATCCAGAAACCAAAAGAAGGAATAGATGAAGGAAAATAGGAAAAAGAATGAAAAGAGTAATGACAGAAAAATGACGGTAAAGAAGAAGGGATAATGAAAAGAATAAAGAAGATGAAGAAAAAAAAAAGAAAGCAAGAAAAAAATAGGAGGTAGGAAAGAAATGGCAGAAAGGAAATTTGAATGAAATGAAGAAAGAGCAAAAAAGAAAGAAAGATACAAAGAAAGAGAGGAAAAAAGAGAGAAGAGACAATAAGAAAGAGAAGTAAAAAGAGAGAAGAGATGCAAAGAAAGGGAAGTAAAAAGAGAGGAGAGATGCAAAGAAAGAGAAGTAAAAAGAGAGGAGAGATACAAAGAAAGAGTGGAAAAAAGAGAGAAGAGATGCAACGGAAGAGAGGAAAAAAGAGAGAAGAGACAATAAGAAAGAGAAGTAAAAAGAGAGAAGAGATGCAAAGAAAGAGAAGTAAAAAGAGAGGAGAGATGCAAAGAAAGAGAAGTAAAAAGAGAGGAGAGATACAAAGAAAGAGTGGAAAAAAGAGAGAAGAGATGCAACAGAAGAGAGGAAAAAAGAGAGAAGAGACAATAAGAAAGAGAAGTAAAAAGAGAGAAGAGATGCAAAGGAAGAGAAGTAAAAAGAGGAGAGATACAAAGAAAGAGTGGAAAAAGAGAGAAGAGATGCAACGGAAGAGAGGAAAAAGAGAGAAGAGACAATAAGAAAGAGAAGTAAAAGAGAGAAGAGATGCAAAGAAAGAGAAGTAAAAAGAGAGGAGAGATGCAAAGAAAGAGAAGTAAAAAGAGAGGAGAGATACAAAGAAAGAGTGGAAAAAAGAGAGAAGAGATGCAACAGAAGAGAGGAAAAAAGAGAGAAGAGACAATAAGAAAGAGAAGTAAAAAGAGAGAAGAGATGCAAAGGAAGAGAAGTAAAAAGAGAGAAGAGATGCAAAGAAAGAGAAGAAAAGAGAGAGATGCAAAGAAAGAGAAGTAAAAGAGAGAAGAGATGCAAAGAAAGAGAAGTAAAAAGAGGAGAGATGCAAAGAAAAAGAAGTAAAAGAGAGAAGAGATGCAAAGAAAGAAGTAAAAAAAGAGAGAAGAGATGCAAAGAAAGAGAAGTAAAAAAGAGAGAAGAGATGCAAAAGAAAGAGAAGTAAAAGAGAGAAGAGATGCAAAGAAAAGAAGTAAAAAGAGAGGAGAGATGCAAAGAAAGAGAAAGTAAAAAAGAGAAGAGATGCAAAGAAAGAGAAGTAAAAAAGAGAGAAGAGATGCAAAGAAAGAGAAGTAAAAGAGAGAAGAGATGCAAAGAAAGAGAAGTAAAAGAGAGGAGAGATGCAAAGAAAGAGGAAAAAGAGAGAAGAGATGCAACGGAAGAGAGGTGGAAAAAGAGAGAGAGAGACAAAAGAAAGAGAAGTAAAAAGAGAGAAGAGATGCAAAGAAAGAGAAGGCAAAAAGAGAGGAGAGATGCAAAGAAAGAGAAGTAAAAAGAGAGAAGAAATGCAAAGAAAGAGAAGTAAAAGAGAGAAGAATGAAAGAGAAGTAAAAGAGAGGAGAGATGCAAAGAAAGAGAAGTAAAAAGAGAGGAGAGATGCAAAGAAATAGAAGTAAAAAAGAGGAGAGATGCAAAGAAAGAGAAGTAAAAAAAGAGAGGAGAGATGCAAAGAAAGAGTGGAAAAAGAGAGAGATGCAAAGAAAGAGAAGGAAAAGAGAGAAGAGATGCAAAGAAAGAGAAGTAAAAAGAGAGAAGAGATGCAAAGAAAGAGAAGTAAAAAGAGAGGAGAGATGCAAAGAAAGAGAAGTAAAAAGAGAGAAGAGATGCAAAAAGAAAGAAAAAAAAAGAGAGGAGAGATGCAAAGAAAGAGAAGTAAAAAGAGAAGAGATGCAAAGAAAGAGAAGTAAAAAGAGAGGAGAGATGCAAAGAAATAGAAGTAAAAAGAGAGGAGAGATGCAAAGAAAGAGAAGTAAAAAGAGAGAAGAGATGCAAAGAAAGAGAAGTAAAAAGAGAGAAGAGACAATAAGAAAGAGAAGTAAAAAGAGAGGAGAGATGAAAGAAAGAGAAGTAAAAAGAGAGAAGAGATGCAAAGAAAGAGAAGTAAAAAGAGAGAAGAGATGCAAAGAAAGAGAAGTAAAAAGAGAGAAGAGATGCAAAGAAAGAGAAGTAAAAAGAGAGAAGAGATGCAAAGAAAGAGAAGTAAAAAGAGAGGAGAGATGCAAAGAAAGAGAAGTAAAAAGAGAGGAGAGATACAAAAGAAAGAAATCAAAAAAAGAAGAGAAAAAGAGAAGTAAAAAAGAGAGGAGAGATGCAAAGAAAGAGAAGTAAAAGAGAGAAGAGATGCAAAGAAAGAGAATCAAAAAGAGAGAAGAGATGCAAAGAAAGAGAAGTAAAAGAGAAGAGATGCAAAGAAAGAGAAGTAAAAAAGAGAGAAGAGATGCAAAGAAAAGAAGTAAAAGAGAGAAGAGATGCAAAGAAAGAGAAGTAAAAGAGAGAAGAGATGCAAAGAAAGAGAAGTAAAAAAGAGGAGAAGCAAAAGAAAGAGAAGTAAAAGAGAGAGATAAAGAAAGAGAAGTAAAAAGAGAGAAGAGATGCAAAAGAAAGAGAAGTAAAAAGAGAGAGGAGAGAAGAAAGAAAGAGAAGCAAAAAAGAGAGGAGAGATGGAAGAAAGAGAAGTAAAAAGAGAGGAGAGATGAAAAGAGAAGAAAAAGAGAGAAGAGATGCAAAGAAAGAGAAGTAAAAAGAGAGAAGAGACAAAAGAAAGAAGTAAAAGAGAGAAGAGATGCAAAAGAAAGAGAAGTAAAAAGAGGAGAGATGCAAAGAAAGAGAAGTAAAAAAGAGAAGAGATGCAAAGAAAGAGAAGTAAAAGAGAGAAGAGATGCAAAGAAAGAGAAGTAAAAAAAGAGAAGAGATGCAAAGAAAGAGAAGTAAAAAAGAGGAGAGATGCAAAGAAAAGAAGCAAAAAAGAGAGAAGAGATGCAAAGAAAGAGAAGTAAAAAGAGAGGAGAGATGCAAAGAAAGAGAAGTAAAAAGAGAGGAGAGATGCAAAGAAAGAGAAGTAAAAAGAGAGAAGAGATGCAAAGAAAGAGAAGTAAAAAGAGAGGAGAGATGCAAAGAAAGAGAAGTAAAAAGAGAGAAGAGATGCAAAGAAAGAGAAGTAAAAAGAGAGGAGAGATGCAAAGAAAGAGAAGTAAAAAGAGAGGAGAGATGAAAGAAAGAGAAGTAAAAAGAGAGAAGAGATGCAAAGAAAGAGAAGTAAAAAGAGAGAAGAGACAATAAGAAAGAGAAGTAAAAAGAGAGAAGAGATGCAAAGAAAGAGAAGTAAAAAGAGAGGAGAGATGCAAAGAAAGAGAAGTAAAAAGAGAGAAGAGATGCAAAGAAAGAGAAGTAAAAAGAGAGGAGAGATGCAAAGAAAGAGTGGAAAAATGGAGGAGAGATGCAAAGAAAATAAAAGATGGAATAAATGTATGAATCAGGTGAGATAGTAAGTATAAAATACTGAATCAGAAATGGAACAGAATACACGAAAGACATTATGAATGAAACGAAAGAACAAACTATTTTCTTCTTTGATTGCTGTCAAGAAAAAAAACCTCGCTCGCCTCTCACTTTCTTTCCAACAGAAGAAACCCATAAAATCCTAAACTTATCTTTGAATTCATGTGAATATTTTTGCTATGTTTTTGTATACTGAACTTCACACGGTAGAAGCCTCGAGAGCCACTCGAGTTATAGGGTTACTGTTAAATTGTTAATGATGAATGAGTAGTGTGATATGAACAAAGGCGGTAAGCCCCTCTTCCGATCTAACACTAACTTCCCAGTGAGGAAAAAACTGACTGCTTACAGTCAATGTCTCAAAAACCAAACTTGTTACATTCCATCACCACTGATCAGACCTTGAACAGCCACCAGTCATGATAAACAGATGTAACCTGGAGGAGTCACCATGCCCTGAGAGAATATTGGGCCTCAAACTCACATTTGACCTCAAGTGGAACTCTCATATACAACCCATCTATAAAGATGCAAGTAAAATGATCGGCACCCTGTACTGCTCCGGTAAGTACCTGACTTCTCATGCTATCCTCTAACTTTATAAGAGTCAGATCAAGTCAAAAATGGAGTAGTGTTGCCATATTTGGGCGGGAGTTGACCAGTCCTCACTTTCTAGTCTTGATAGAGTTCAAAAGCATCTTTGGATTCTTGTTGAGGAAGAATTATTTTCCACCCTTCTAATCTCTCTCTCACAGATGGGATGTGATGGGGCTCTCATTGCTCTGTCACTGCTTCCATGGAAAGTGCTCAAATGAACTACATTCCTTGGTTCTACTATGTCTAACTTTCAGAGCTAGGACCCTCCATGCCACTTATATAGATGCAAACATTCCCTCTTTATTCCATCAGTGAGAAGTAATTTCCACTCAAACAGCATCTTCCCACATACCACTGCCCTGTGGAACAGACACCCAAGAGAATGTTTCCCTGATCACTACAATCACTACCTGTTCAAACCTAGAGTTAACCATTATCTTCCTCTCCTATCCATATAAACTATCCCTTAAAGTAATCATCTACCTTGAGTGGCACCTGGACCTTGTACAAGGTTAACCTTACAGTAAAAAAAAAAAAAGAAAAAAAGAAGTGATGAGAGTAAGGAGGATAAGATAATGATTGATTTGATATTTGACTTAAAGAGGTTGTAGTATTCAAGAAAGAAACTCTGTGAGAGTCGGTTTCACAAAGTCGCCATTCTTGTGGAAAAAAACGTGTGGAATTTTCTACTTGCACTGGAATACAAAGTAAATGTGATTGATTCAACAGTGGAAATAGTATGACATGCCCTAGTTGTAAGGTCTGAACAGGTGGAACTAAATAATGGAGCTCATCTGAACATTTGCCATGGAAATAGCAAAAGAATAACAAAAGGCTTATAATATTGTATTTGTGGGAAAGAGGCTGCAATTTGGGAATATGGCTTCCTTCACAAGACTGTGTAAATGTCCTAACTATAAAGGTCTGAATTGGTGGAACTAAAGAATGGAGCTCATCTGAACATTTGCCATGGAAATAGTGGTAGAGTAGCAATAGGTTTGCAATATTGTGTCTATGGAAATGGAGTTTTGTCCTACAAGTCTTAGGACATTTCATTATCTTCAGACTATATTAAAGACTCGATTCTGTGTAAATTAAATTACAAAGAACCAAATTGTTAATTAGTTTACTTGTATGAAGATTTCACTACCATGGAATAGTCATTAGCAAGTTAGTTTCATAGTCTGTTATTGCTGTAGTAAATTCTTAATCAGCCTTATTGTGTACAAAATACTTCAAGCTTGTGCTTTCCTCAAGTGAAATTAGTGGACATCTAATGGAATAAATACAATGTAATATCAGCAAATTATGTATGGGAGAAATTAGTAATGGTGGAGGTCCATATCCAAAATGATAAAAATGAGGGTCGTAATTTTAAGGTCATAAATGGGTCAGACAAGTCCAAAATCGAAAGCTTGGGCCTTTTTCTCTTGTTAATGACCATACTTTCTGTCTTCTTGATTAGTCCATTTTTATTTACTTTCTTCTACCCCACTCCCTCTATGAGGTACTGTAGTTTTCTCTCCAAGTCGTATATTTACCAGGCCTCCCCACCAAGGTTGACACAAGGTTGTTTTAATGTGAGGAGCACTATACACATACTTATGCATATGAGCCAAGGACAAAAATTGATTTTTCTCAGTAGTTTTATCTGCCATTACAGAATCTGATAAAAAGCTACAACTGAACAGTATTGATGATAATATGATATACACAGTAATATGATATACATAATATGATATATAAAATATGATATACACAATAATATGATATACATAATATGATATACACAATAATATGATATACGTAACATGATATACATAATATTATATACATAATATTAATGATATACACAATAATATGATATACATAACATGATATATATATAATATGATATACACAATAATATGATATATATAACATTATATATATAATATGATATACATAATATTGATATGATATACACAATAATATGATATACATAACATGATATATATAACATAATATATATGATATGATATACATAACATGATACATATGATATACATAATATGATATATACAGTAATAATGATGGCTGTTCATATCTGAGTATGCCTACCTACTATGGCAGCTACCAACTCCCTGATTATACTGCAACTATTACTATTTCTAGGAGAGGACACATAATCTGGTGTGATCAACAGAATAGTACACTCAAATCTTTGGTCACGATGACTTGTGACTATGTGCTAGCAAGACCATCGACGGCTCCCAAATAGCTCCATCTACCCATTTTCATTTGCAAAGCTTGGGTCAACAAGTGGTATGGTTTTCGGGCACTTTCCAAAGTTGTTGCATGCTGGAAATCTCTAGGAGAGGACACATAATCTGGTGTGATCAACAGAATAGTACACTCAAATCTTCAGTCACGATGACTTGTGACTATGTGCTACCACAACAATTGATAGGTACCAAATAGTTCCATCTACCCAATTTCACTCACAAGACTTGGGTCAACCTTTCAGGCACTTTCCGAGGGTGCCACATGCTGAGATCCCCTCCCCAGGCCAATGATGTCAAGAAGTCACTTTCCTGACAGATTGTCTATGGTGAGATTTGAACCCAGGTCTCATGGTTCAAAAGCAAACATTCTCACCACTCAGACACAATAATAATATTAATAATACATTAGAGTCATAAATAGTCTTTAGATGTGGGTATGAGATGAGCGGTAAAAAGTAAAAGATAGATCAGTAGTTTTTAAGCTGGGTTGAGCCCTAGGGATTTGGTGAATCATTCTCAGGGTGTGTCAATGACGAATACCTCAACAAAATCATTGAACTTCAGTAGAGTCAGGTTCAACAGCAAGTCTTCAATACTCTCAACACTTTGGTGTCACCAAATCTTAGCATACCCTCTTATTGCTAAGAAAATCCTTGGGATACTGTTGTGGAGTTATTTCGCAGTGGACGCTTGTATTTGTACTAAGTCGGTCCTAAAATAGGTTCAACGTACAAAACGTTAGGAACTTGATATAATAGGTATAACGCAGAGTAATCTAGTTGTAGTCGCTGATACTTTAGTATTTGACTAACTGTCATCCGACATTGACTGACTAACCGACTCACTGACCAACTGCCTCGTTACTCTTACTACTCCTACTTATTATAGGTGTGAGAGTCTATTAACTATAGAATAGGTATGTTCCACTATAACAGATACTCATACCATTTGTTACAACATGACTTGGCGAGTAATCTTTTCAAGGATGGTGGACATGAAAATGAAGAAAAGGAACAGACTTTATTGTGAAAATGATACGAGAGTGATACTTGCCAAGATAAAGCTGCACATTTTTGAATTTGTCTCTGAAAGGCAACAGCAAAACTCACATTGGTTTGCAGTATATATTCACTGAGTTGGGCACCTCGGCATGGTGTAATAGTTAGCAAGCTTATCTTGCTAGAACAATTATGACTGAGTAGTGAGTTCGATCCTTACTGGGGGCTCCATACTTCCAGCCTTATGCCGCATCTAAGCAGCGCTTACAAAATGACTATATTCACTGAGTTATGTTTTGTTTTTGTCATGTTTTGTTGGTTTTGTTCTTTAAACATAGTGATTTTGTGTGCAACCGATTAATGGTTCATTTGTGTGCTAATAAAATATATACCTATGCTCTGAAGAAATCATATTTTATTTTTTCAACTATGAAGGGTTCAGTGAATGCACGGAAGAAATTTGTTGGGTTCAATCCACACAACAAGGTTAAGAACCACTGCTTTAGATGAAATATGTTTTAGGGCCTGTATTTTTAAACATACCATATCCCTTCTTGATGTTAGAAATCATGTCTCTCCACAGATTCCATTCCTTTTTCTATGAATTGCCATAACTTCTTAGTATAGTTTTGACTTCATATTTATTCTCTAAGACTGATTACCACCCAAGAACCCAGTCTACACTAAAGGCAAAAAGTTTGTGGTCACCTTTCATTTCTTTAAAGCAAACACCTTATAATGAGATATTTTTGTATATTAAAAAAATAAAAGATAAAAATTCAGTAATTGCAGTGCATTTGCTTTTATTTTTCAGTTCTCCAGGCTCCTCTTAATACCAATCCTGGTATGAAGCCTGGACAATTTCCTTACAGATGAAGAGGAAACTTGATGCAACAGGGATGTCATTCTATTGAAGAATGCTGAGGACACCAAAAACAGAACAGGTAAGCAACAAGGAAGTCTTAAGGAAAATGGAAATGAAAAAGCTTAGATTCAGAAAGAGTCAATATTAATTTCTGGGATACATAATGGGGAAAGAAGGCTTAGAAAATTTGACACTCACAGGATATATTGAAGACAAGAGGTGTAGAAGGAAACCTTGATTAGTATATCTTGAGTTAATGTATGACAGACTAGAGACTGGGAGGGATGCTAAGGGAACAAACATTGCTTAACGCTACAAAAGATAGGAAGATATGAGGAGCCATGATCATCCATGTCTTGAATGGACGCAGCACAGAAAAGGAGAGCAATTAAAACATTATAAACATTATTATGTCTTTATTTTATTCCCATATGAGTTCAGACAATTTTCATTATAAACAAAGATTATTTGAATCCTAAAGGAAGTAATTTGAGCATCAGTCACCTATGTGCCATGTGTGATACACGCTTAGGTGATCATGTATCATTCGATACATGACTGACGAGGCAGATATTTTCCTGCAGTAGGTTGCCATTTCTTTCTGTGGTAGACCAATTGCCATCCAAGGCTAAAGAACCCGGTCTGTTCTGCTATTTACCCATAGTCAGTCAGTTATGTGCCATGCGTGATACATGCTTAGGCAATCATGTATCTTTCAATACATGACTGACAAGGCAGATTTTTTCCTGCAGTAGGTTGCCATTTTTTTCTGTGTTAGACCAGTTGCCATCCAAGGCTATAGAACCCGTTCTGTCCTGCTATTTACCTATAGTCAGTCAGTTATGTGCCATACGTGATACACACTTAGGCGATCATGTATCTTTCAATACATGACTGACAAAGCAGATATTTTCCTGCAGTAGGTTGCCATTTCTTTCTGCAGTAGACCAATTGTCATCCAAGGCTACAGAACCTGGTCTGTCCTGCTATTTACCCATAGCTGGGAGGGAGAAGAAGAGGATTCATACCTTTCTCAAGGGTATTAACACATAAGCGAATGTACTGGTATTCAAAGTTGGCTCTCCAATTCCTCAATCTGAGCTGCTATCCACTACTCCACCATGCCTCTCTTTGAGCATCAGTTTTAACTAAAATTTAGTGCTACATAAATAAATAGGAGTAAATAGGTTTGTCTATCCGGTTCAAACTCCTTCCCAGGTCTTATAAAAAGGAGTAGAGGCTTATCCCTTGTTTCCTGTTTAAAATTTGGTTTCTGGTTCCTACTAAAATCTACTGCAACCTTATATTCTAACTTATCGACTTAGACTCTGAAATTTTATTTACTATTATTTATTTTTCTCAATAGGAGTGGATAGATTCGCCTATCGCCCAGTACATACTCCTCCCAAATCTTTGGAAAAGAGATTTATCCCTTCTTTTCAGTTTAGGAATGTTTCCAATTCCTTCTAAAGTCTTTCCATTCTCTTTCACTCCCAGTAGTCACTTGCATCTTAGTAGCATTATCACCTTGCTTGGGGTGAATTGATTTTAAAACAAACCTTTTCTAGAATTCCTTAGTTGAACGAATCTGGATTATGTCCGGATAATGTTGAGATGACTTTTATTGATCTTGATCTGTCTTAAATATATACACATACCTACGACAGTGATTAATTCTATCATTTGAATCATTTTCTTTATTTTTTTGTTATTGGGAACATGATATTTGAAAGCTTCC